GGTTCCGGCTGAGTCAGCTGCAGCTTCTGCAGCAGGAGTCTCTGTCAGGGAACAAGAAAAAGGCCATGGGCAAGCATTCACCTCTAGCACTAAGAATTTTGGTGAAATGCTTAGTGCTAAAAAAACAGCCCAACAGTCACAGCATACGTGTGTACCAGCCCCCTGATTCGAGAGCTATGCAGGTGAGCTCTCCTACCAGAAGGCACTAGAGGGCTGTCCTATGGGTCATCTCCACCCTTAAGGGATTCCATTGATTGACAGCCTGTCCTCTCCCCTTCCTGGGAAGGGGTAGGCTGTCAACAGGCAATTGGCAGCTGCTGAAAAGCATAAACTTCTATAAACAGTCCAAGAAGGATTCCAACCCCGGGAGAATGCCCCCTCTCCCTTGGGTCCTGCTATAACAAAATATTCCCCACTACATGCAGTCTGGACGCAGCTGAAGAGGAGTGCAGCCATGCGGTATGTGGCACCGCAGACCCATTTGCAGCACCACACACTGCACATTCAGGCATTCTCCACGCTGCTACCTTGCAGGGTGGAGGTGGGGTTTGACCCTGGGAGATCCCAGAGTCAAAAAAACCTGCGCAGGACAAAAGCGGGATGGCGCACATGGCAGCAGCACATGCCACCCAAAACCGGAGCCTGGCTGGCCAGAGCCACTTTCCATCTGCTGGCAGGCTCCCTGCAGAAGTGCCACAGCTGAAGCTTCCCTGGACCCCAGAACTCCAAGTAAGGCTGCTGGGGCCAGCACAATTGCTGGCCCCCGCCTCCCCTACCCCATCTGGGGTAACCTGCTGCATGCCAGCAGACACATGGCACAGGTGTTCCCCAAGGTATACCACTGCTTTTTGTCCTTGGGGAAACAAACATCCCTGCTGATGTGGACACGGCCTTTCAGGTCAACTCAGAGGAGCGTGCAGGGAAGAAGGCAGGTGCACCTGGGGTTCGAGCTCTCCTGGAGACATCAGACAGTTCTAGCTCCAAGAGAATGCTTCTTCCACACTCCTGCAAATCAGATGATTCATGTGACTGGCCATGGAGCCATCCACCCATGGCAAGAGCCCTCCTGGAGCCCCATGAGGGTTGCTGCCCCTGGGCTCCTTTGGTTAAACTGGGAGGAGTGCAGGGGAGGGAGGCAACTGCATCCATGGCAGCAATGCTTCCAGGTCTCTGGGAGAGTTCCCACCATGGGATAATGTCCCCATAACTGCTGATCAACTGGAAGAATTTCTGAAGGCTCTAGCACCCAGGGTTAAACTCCACTTCAGAAATATAAAAGAGCTGAGGCCCCGGATGTCAGGGCAGAGGCTCCTGCTAAGTCAGTAGCACCTTCTGCAGCAGGAGTCTCTCTCAAGGGAAAAGGACTCTGGGAACAAGCCTCCCTGACAGCTTGCCCCTGGGCAGGCTATCAGGAAGTCAGTGCTCTCTCTCCCTTGGATGGAGGGAGGGAAGGACAGTAGGCAGAGGACAATGGGATATCAGGTGTTCTCAGTATCCAAGAGGAGCATACAGCTGTTCAAGTTGGTGAAGGAAAACAGAGATCTTCCAGGTTGGAAGTGATTTAACATTCTTGTGAAAGAGCCAGCTCTCTTCTGCAAAAAATCCCTTGAACAGCAGGCTTTTCTCCTGGTACAAATGCAATGCTGATCCATGGCCAAATCATCCACATTATGCTGTCCCCTATCGAGCATGTGCAGAGTTACTTTATCTTTTCCCTGGCAGGGCTCACACAACAGAAGCTGTTGTTACTGTACAGGCAGTCCTCGGACTTAACGACACAATTGGTTCCTGAAAACTGCTTCTTAAGTCAAAACATTGTAACTTGGAACCAATTTTCTCATTAGAACCAATGTTATAAATGGGGGATTGGTTCCTGAACCAAGGCTCAATACGCTATTTTCACCAAAAATACCCCAGAATGTTGTACTCGATCAATTATAGATGAGTAATATAGCTACATTAATGTATTTATAGTGTAAATAGCAATCATATTGATTTGGAAGGACTTCTTTGACTTTGCTGAACTTTTTAAAGGGCTCTTGGTTGGACTTTTGAAGGGTTCTTGACTGGAGTCTTCTCAGGAGTCTTGGTGGCAGGGTTTTCTGGAGTCTTGTCTGCTTTCTTAAAGAAAGTGTTCAAGGAAGTTTGGACAGATGTTCTCCAGGGAGATGGGTGACACAGCGAACTTGTTTGCTGGCGTGGCGTCACATCGAATCAAGAGTTGTAAAGGCGAAACTGATATCAGAAAGTTGAAACTGGGTGTCAATTTATAAATGGTGTAGGTGCAAAATGTTGTAACGCGAAACGTTGTAAATGGAGGACTGCCTGTATTTATTACCATATTATTTCACTTAAAGCATGGTCCCCAATTTCCAGCATATTTAGAAAAAAGGTGCATGTCATACACAAGAAAATGGGGTGTATTTGACTATGTTTTATTAATTCACTAATAATATTTTCATCACATAGAACCTTTGAAATGATCATTAGTTTTGAGTCTTTTCTCACATCTGCAGTGTGTAAGTAATATCCAGTTTTGTTTTGCACTTCAGTACTCATAACAACATTTAAGACTACAGGCCAGATTGTTTTCTGATCCATTTAGTGTCACTACTGATATCACATGCATGTACATCAGTGCAGGATTTAACCTATACAAAGGTCTCATATCTTTAAGCCAATAGAGATCTTCTTCCATAAATCTGACCTATACCAACATAATACACACACAAACGTATCACTGACTTTTCTTTAAGGGCACCCACATTATTAGCACACAGATATACAATTGCCAAAGATCTTTCTGCCCAAAATTATGACTTACAGACAATTTTTCAGCTAAGTCTTTATAATCAAGAACACAGAACTGAAAGTACAAATACTCAGAAACACACTTTTTAATTTGCTTTTTTAGATCATTATAACATCTGTATCCCAGGTTTCACCCTCCATTAGGTCTTGGTTTTCTAAAACATCCTAAACTATAGTGGGAGAACCTCTTCGATTCATCAATATTCAAAATCCAGTCCTTGCTCACTGCCAAATGTAGTGATATAACATCATGAAGAAATTACCTTCAATTCATCTGCTGCAAGAATAATCCAATAAAGTGATATAACATGACAGTTCCAAGTGTAGCAAGCACTATTTGCTCTCTGCTCTCCGCTTTCACAAATAAGGCTAAGAACACGTTCCTTAAAATCACACATTTTAGAAGTTTTATTCTCATTTAGAAGGCCACTCTATACCACCTCAATGATATAAAGGTTGTTTAACTTGGGTGTAATAACTTTGTCCTAAGGCCTCCTTTTATACTTGCAAAGCACTGTGAAGTAGCCTCAGTATAAATGAGAATGGGATCCAAAAGGTTTTACCCTGATTTTATGCAGACTTACCATACATACATGGCATAAGAGAAATGCTGCCTTTGGTGCCACTATTTTCCCTTACCCTGCCCTACACCTTTATCATTCCTTAAACCCATTAGGACAAAGAAAAAAAAGTAGAGAAAATCTGAAAATAATGCTGATTAAAAGCCAGTAATTTTGGATCACATGCACAAAGCTAAATAAAGGGGCCTGATATCCGAGATAATCACAAGACAAGGAAAGAAAGAATTAGCCCTTTCTAAAACAAAGAGTGCCAGCACAGCTGGCTGCAGCTACACAGCTACTACAGCCCTCCACCTCAATCCTCCACCAGTGAATCCCTACAGTTAAAGGACCCAGTGGCTTTACAAATGTCCCTCTCCTCCCCCTTAATGCTGTACAGACGGTCTAATGCTAGGCCTGTGCAAGTAGGCAGCTATTCGATCCGGCTTCAGATCCAGCCACTTCAGATGCCAGCAATCTGAACCGGGTTTCCACTTTGATCCGGCCGAAGCGGCTCCGAAGCTTCAGAGCTGCCTCATAGATCCGGCAATAGGGTATAATGGGGAATCAATGAAATATCTGTAACTTTATTGTTTGTTGTCTGATTTGGATGAAACTTGCAGGGCTGGTAGCCTCTGCTGTGAGCATGAAGCCTGCCAAGTTTCAAGAAGATCGTGCAGAGGTTCGGGGGGAACTGCACCCCAAATTCGTGAAAGCAAAACATGTCACGTATATGTGTTAAGCCACTGTGGGGTCAAAACT